TGATTTCAGGGACATGTTCATGAAGCTGTAAGGGAGAAGAAAGGGAACAATATACAGACAGGTGATGAGAGGGAGAGTATACAGCCCACTGGAGCTTAGAGGGTAGTTTCACTAAGAAAAAGGAAAAAGATGCTCTGAAAGGAAATAATGTGATTCAGAAAAAATTAAGTAGATAGGGAACACATCAAATTTTTTTTGCCCCCCTATTTTATCCTCTCCTGATATTCTAAGTTACATTCCTTTATCATTTCCTTTCTGTTGAAAGACATTTCTTTTGGGGCTGGAGTGATAGCATAGTAGGTAGGGCGTTTGCCTTACATGCGGCTGGCCCGGGTTCAATATGGTCCCTGAGCACCAACAGGAGGAATTCCCGAGTGCAGAGCCAGGAGTAACCCTTGAGCATCGCTGGGTGTGACCAAAAAAAGCAATAAATAAGTAAATCTTAAAGACGTCTCTTTAGTAGTTTCTTTAGTGTAGGTTTACTAGTGAAATATTCTGTTAGCTTTCCATCACAAAAATGTCCTAGGAAGTGTCATGGGGCATTGGGTATGATGTGTGTGAAGTCTAGAGTTTCTGCTCAATCTTTGCTTTTGGATATGGTGGTTCAGCATATTGGTGTCCTGTGGTATTTGACTGATAGAGAACATTTATTATAAAAATGTTTTCTTTATCATTAGACTTCTCCTATTCTGGTCTTTTGGTTATAGAAAGTACTCTGTGCTTCTTGGATTTCCATATAGTCCTATTATCGTATTCCTTTGGGAATATATGATGCATAAAATTATGGGAAACAGACCACTTTGTGATTCCTAGGTTCTTGAGAGGTTCAGCTAGTCTGCCTATGGAATTTCAGGGAACCAAGAGATTGTACAGGGGTTAAGGTTTTGCTTTGCGTGTTTGGCTGATCCTTGACTCCATGTATGGTTCCCTGAGAACTGCCAGGAGTGATGCTGTCAAGAGTAGGGTTGAGTGGGAGAGAAGAGAGAGGAGAGAATGGAGAGAGAGAGAAAGAGAGAGAGAAAGAGAGAAAAAGAAGACAGGCTGCCATAGAGACAGGCTGAGGGAAAGGTGAGGGAGGGAAACTAGGACATTAATGGTTGGAAATGACACTGGTGAAGGTACTGGTGATGGAACATTGTATGAGTGAAACCCATTCCTGGTCAACTTTGTAACTATGTATCTCATACGTGTGATTCAATGAAAAAAAAAGTAGAGTTCCTGAGTATACAGTCAGGAGTAAGCCCTGAGCATTGTTGGATATGGGCCACCCCTCCCCAAAATATACATGTAGTGTCCAGGGCGTTAGTTTTACTTAGATGGAGGAATGTGGAAAAGACCATTAGAATGAAGAAGAAAATATAATGAATTTATGAAGTTGATGGAGAAATATAGATCAGAACTTGATATGCAAATTCTAGGACCAGATTCAAATTAGAGCCAAGTATCAGTCAGGAAGAGTTATTGATCAATTGGTTTTGGAAAATTCACTAAGAATTTCAGGAAATTTGATGTACTTACTACAGAAAAAGGAAACTAAGTTCTAAGTGACTAAATTTTATTAGGGTATATCTTCAATTTGAAATGGCTTTATCTGGAAAGATTGTAAAAGCTAAAATGTTTTTTATAGTAAACATTAAAAGGTATTTCTGTATGATTTAAAATTAAAAATAGGCATAAACTATGAAGTCAATCCAAGCAAAATGTAATCTATAAGAAAAGGGATCTCGTTCCCCAGATGAATGCAATCTTTCTGTGTCTATTCCGCTCTTTCTGACTCATTTCGCTTAACATGAAAATAGGAGACTAACACACAAGAGTGGCCTAGATTAGCACCAGGAATTTTGCTCCATGACTTGGAGGCCAGCCACACGTGCTGGGGGAAAGGGAAGCTCAGATAGAGAAGGGAGCACCAAATAAAGGGTGTTGGGAGGATCCTCCCAGGATGGGAGAAGCATGCTGAAAGTAGACTATAGACCAAACATGATTGCCACTCAATGCCTCTCTTGCAAACCACAGGACCCAAAAGGAGAGAGAGGCAACAAAAGGGAATGCCCTGCCACGGAGGCAGGGTGGGATGGGGGGGATGGGGGGGTAGGAGGGATACTGGGAACTGTGATGGTGGAAAATGGGCACTGGTGGAGGGATGGGTACTTGATCATTGTTGAAACCCAAACACAAAAATTTGTAAGTCTATAACTGTACCTCATGGTGTTTCACTAAAAAAAATAAATAAAAGCAAGAGTTTTTTTTATTGAATTTAAGAAAAAAGAAAAGGGATCAACCAGCATACAGAAGAGATATGAAAAGTTTTGGTAGAGATTAAGCTATAAAAAGAAAGTATTTCTTGAGTTTTCTATGATTTAAACATTTTAATTTAACGTTTATTTTGAAATATTATTACTGTGACATTTTTCCTCTTTTTAAATTAAAAGCTATATTGGTTTGACTATGTTTCCATACAGGTAGTATTTTTGTTTTTATGTAAAAAATTATAAGCACATTCATCACCACCAAACTTCCCAAGAAACTTCACTGCTGCCCTTATGCCATTTTCATTTTCCATTTATCCCCCCCATCTTCTCCCCTAATTACTTTTTACTTTTTTGCCTTGATGTTCACATGAAATATAAAATCATGCAACATCAGTAATATAATCATGAATTGAAGTACAAATTCTTTTCTCTCTTAATTTAATAGAATTGAGATCATAATTTTAAGTAAATAAAACAACTTTGCATATCTGTGTGTGTATGTGATCAAAACTGGGAAACTGATATGGAACCACATTTTCCTTTTACCTTTTAGTCCCTGGTATCTAACATAGTATGAGGTGAGCTTTGAACCCAAATATGGTCAGGTTAAATGAATGAGAGGATGGATGTCAATAAACAAATCAGTTTCCATTCCAAATTTGTATGGATGCTTTTGGTTATTTGAGAGAGAAGATTAGAGCTGTTGTATCCCAAGAACAGTAGCAAATATATTAAGATGATGCTCTACAAAAATCTTGTAGGATCTATGTTGACTGTCAAAAGGTCTACTTATTTTCATTTCTTATCATATAAATGGCATACAAGTATCTTTTTTTGTAGGAAAGGCCAGGTATAAGATATAAGTAAAAATAACCTTGATTAGAGTGCCCACATAAGCTTCTTTGATGTTCTTTGTTGAAAATCAGGAATTTAGCATAGTTAATGAGTGATCCTAAAAGCAACTGAAGTTGCTTAGGAAAAAAATCACTGTTATTTATGTTTGTATATTAATACAGAATTTTATCAATATCATACCTGTTACTTTGCAAAGTGTCAGAAAAACTACCTCTTTAATCTTTAAATAATTATTGCCTTGAATCCAAGCAACTAAGACATCACAGATAAAGACTAACCTTGAAAAAGACTTCTCTTAAGTTCTCAGAAAGATGTGAAATTCCATTAATTAGGCGTGAATTTCTATCTCCTTTAACGCAAAAATTCCAAGTGTGTCTGATTTTATTTTTGTTGTTGTCTTAAAAGGGGTCTTGAAATATCTATCTATAGCTGATTAAATCCTTTTGAAAAATTAATTTTAGAGTAACTACTATGTAGTTCCAGCTTCTCTGTAATTTCACACTGGAAGAACCATTTGATTGTCCCCATGTCTCCCTCAACACAACAAGTTGCTAGCCAAGTTTATTAGCATAACTTCCTTACGAGCATGAAAATAAATTATTATATTTTCAGAGAACTTCATCAAATAGTGCTCTTTACCTTTCTGTAGCCTAAGTATTAAAAAGTGTTAAATAGGAGTTTTAATGTTGTATGCTGTGATACTGTTGAAACATTTTGCTTGATTTTCTGAATACTCTTTCCTAAATACTTCCTTTAAATTGTTTTAATCTGAGCTTCTGAGAAGATATTTAAACTGTGAATTCAGCATGAGAATACATACTGGACCCTAAAAATATTCATTATTCTAGACTAAACAGAAATATAATGCTATGTATGTATTTGCATTTCTGTGTATATATGTATGTTTTCTTTATTTGCTCTATATCCATCATAATAGTTTTCTGAAATACCTAATTATCAAGAGCAACTAAGCCAAGAATAGCAAAATACAAATTATACATTATTTATTTAGGCCTTACCTTTGTGTTCAGTTGGTTTCTTATAGTCTGTTTCATGACAGTCATCATTTTTATTTGCTCCTTTATTTAGCTATTTCTTTGAACTTAATGTATATTAGAATGTTGAATGATTATGGACATTTAGAGAAAGCATTTGCATAAGTCATTTACAAAATTATTTTCATTCTATGATGAAATAAATTTTGAATACAAACATATATAATGATCATATAGTAATAATTTTGTGAGAAAAACACTCAAATTTTATTTTGTAGGTCACTGTCACTGTCACTGTCCTCCCGTTGTTCATTGATTTGCTCGAGTGGGTCAGTAATGTCTCCATTGTGAGACTTGTTGTTACTGTGTTTGGCATATTGAATACATCACGGTAGCTTGCCAGCCTTTGCCATGCAGGTGAGATACTCTCAGTAGCTTTCCGGGTTCTCCAAGAGGGGTGAAAGAATTGAACCCGGGTCAGTCAGGTCGGCCATGCACAAGGCAAATGCCCTACCGCTGGAGTGCCAAACACAGTAACCAGTGTCACAATGGAGACGTTACTGGGCCCACTCGAGCAAATTGATGAACAACGGGAGGACAGTGACAATGACACTGAAACACTCAAACTATTTCAGTCATGTATCCATAGAATTACTTTTCCACCATGCTCAATTCTCTTCATATCCACCAAAGTAAGGGAATTCGACACATATCCTTTCTTTCAACTCTGTCATATTCCCATATCTAAGTTATTTGAATTATTTGTTAGTATGCATGATATTAGAGTTTCATTGTTTCTTATATCAGTTTTCACTCACTAAATGTTTCTGTTCAAAATGACTTTATTTTCTTATTTCATGTTAAATTCTTTCCCTAATGCAAATTTTTTATCCTTCAGACGAAGACAGGACTATCTAAAGTATGGCAAGAAAGTGAGCAAGAGTCTCACAATCATTGGCAAAAGGCAGTTGTGCTCCTGGGAAAGTTAAGGAATTTTGAAGTCATAATTCAAGGGATCAGAACTAGAGACCTTGGGGGAGGAGCTGCAATTGATGACATTGAATTCAAAGACTGCATGACTGGTAAGTTTCTAGAAAACATTTCCATTTAGAAACACATTTATTATCTTGTTATTTTATCTGTGTTTAATGTTTGTAAAATATTCATAAAATCTTTTGTGCATACAAAAACCAAATGAAAAAGGCAATTTCATAACTATTCATTTAAGCATGTTAAGTGGTAAAATACCTCTGTCGTTATGTTGCAATTCCCCCTTCCTTTCATACCATCTCATTTCTAATGTGCAGAAGTATTCTCTAAATATATTTTTTTCAATTTACACCAAATAGAAATATACAACATAGATAGGAATAGACAGCTGACAGTTAATGACTATATGAAAAATAGATTCAACCAGGTATAATTCAAGCCAAATTTGAGTTGAGAACTATGTTTAGGCAATTTGAAATGCTGCTCTAGCAAGTGAAGAGTAACGTACTATCATTTATCATGCTTTTAAATGTGAAATACATCTACACTGAATTTTTCTTTACAAAAACACGCAGAAAATGTCAGAAATGATTATACATCATTGTACAACTTCACAGTTTGCAAAGTTCTTTCTGACTTCCCAAATACTAAAGTGATGTATGCTGTCAATGGAAGCTATGTCTTCCGTGGTTTCTAAATGGATTCACTCAGTGGTAATTGTCTAGACTGCAGAGCTAAAAGCAAATGTTATTTAAGGTATTGTTACTCTTGTATTAAAATATCACTTCATGGAGAGAGTTGAAAATTGTGACTGGTGTTTGGAGATAGGATAGCTTCTGTTCTTCTTATAAACAGTACTGTTTGAAGGAGTCTGCTGATTAACTGTCCTTTAAAGTTTGACCACTCCATCCAGTCGAGGCTTCTAGGGAAGGAGGGAACTACCCAGTCACCTTTCCTGTGTTACACAAACAGCCTTGGTTAGCCCCCAGATAATCTTGGTCAGACTTTCTTTCCCTTGTCTATGTGAAGAATTTTTCTTAGAGATGTTTTGGTAGAGAAAAGCCTAGAAAATATTGGAAGATATGGTTCTGAACACTTCAAAGTAGCACTGTAGCACTGTCCTCCCATTGTTCATGGATTTGCTCCAGCAGGCACCAGGAATGTCTCCATTGTGAGACTTGTTACTGTTTCTGGAATATCGAACACTCTACGGGGAGCTTTCCAGGCTCTGTTGTGCAGGCGGGATACTCTCGGTAGCTTGCCAGGCTCCCTAAGAGGGATAGAGGAATCAAACCCGGGTTGGCCACGTGCAAGGCAAATGCCCTACCTGCTCTGCTATTGCTCCAGCCCACTTCAAAGTACTTTAGAAATAAAATTCTCTTTCTTTCTTTCTTTCTTTCTTTCTTTCTTTCTTTCTTTCTTTCTTTCTTTCTTCCTTCCTTCCTTCCTTCCTTCCTTCCTCTCTCTTTCTCTCTCTTTCCCTCCCTCCCTCCCTTCCTTCCTCCTTCCTTCCTTCCTTCCTTCCTTCCTTCCTTCCTTCCTTCCTCTCTTTTTTTCTTCTGTTTTATTGAATCACCATGAGATAGAGCATTACAAAGCTGTTCATGATTAGATTTCAATCATACAATGTTCCAACATCAATCCCTCCACCAGTGTAATTTCCCAGAACCAATGGCTCCATTTCCCTCCCACCCCTCCAAGTCACCTGCTACCTCCACCTGCCTCTATGGTAGGCACCTCTCTTCTCTTTCTCATTCTCTCGTTTTAGGCATTATGGCTTGCAATCCAGTTGCGGAAAGGTTATTATGTATATTCCTTTACCTATTTTCAATACCCAGTTCTTGTCCAGAGTGATCATTTCCAATTTCTAATGTTGTAATAATGGATCCTCCTCTATTATGAAACCTCCCCACACCCTGTGGTAATTTCCAATCATTGACCAGTCCTCCTGGATAAATTTTCCTGCATTTTAATATTACTTTCATACTTTTTTTAGAACCTACAAATAAATGCAGTCGTTCTTTATTTATTCGTCTCCTTCTGTCTCATTTCACTCAGAATGATACTCTCCAGGTGGTGGGTATGACCCCCGCCTACTGGAATTTGGAGGATCTGGGTGGAGGATGCTCGACTCCAATCCGAGTAGGCTTGGAGATCTCGGCCCCGGAACCCGCGTGGCTTTGTCCCTCTGCCAGTACCTTCATGTGTGCGGAGAGTGGTCTCAGCATGGTGGTGGCTGGTCCTGGAGGTCTTCGGCTGCCGGAGCCCTGGTCGAGGCGGGGGGGGGGGAAGCTCAACCTGCTCCCCTCCAAGGGACCCCGGCGAGGAACAGCCAGGCGCGGGGGCAGGAGACTGCACTGGTCTCGTCCGGGAGCTGGATTTTATAGTATCTGAGTCTTGGCCATTGATGGGATTACACGGCGCCATGGGACCAGGTGGTGGATGTGACCCCCGCCTACTGGAATTTGGAGGATCTGGGTGGAGGATGCTCGACTCCAATCCGAGTAGGCTGGGAGATCTCGGCCCCGGAACCCGCGTGGATTTGTCCCTCTGACAGTACCATCATGTGTGTGGAGAGTGGTCTCAGCATGGTGGTGGCTCCCGGACGAGACCAGTGCAGTCTCCTGCCCCTGCGCCTGGCTGTTCCTCGCCAGGGTCCCTTGGAGGGGAGCGGGTTGAGCTTTTCTCCCCGCCCCGACCAGGGCTCCGGCAGCCGAAGACCTCCAGGACCAGACACCACCATGCTGAGACCACTCTCCGCACACATGAAGGTACTGGCAGAGGAACAAAGCCACGTGGGTTCCGGGACCGAGATCTCCAAGCCTACTCAGATTGGAGTCGAGCATCCTCCACCCAGATCCTCCAAATTCCAGTAGGCGGGGGTCACACCCACCACCTGGCCCCCTGGCGCCGTGTAATCCCATCAACGGCCAAGACTCAGAGACTATAAAATCCAGCTCCCGGACGAGACCAGTGCAGTCTTCTGCCCCCGCGCCTGACTGTTCCTCGCCGGGGGCCCCTTGGAGGGGAGCGGGTTGAGCTTTCCTCCCTGCCTCGACCAGGGCTCCGGCAGCCGAAGACCTCCAGGACCAGCCACCACCATGCTGAGACCACTCTCCGCACACATGAAGGTACTGGCAGAGGGACAAAGCCACGCGGGTTCCGGGACCGAGATCTCCAAGCCTACTCGGATTGGAGTCGAGAATCTTCCACCCAGATCCTCCAAATTCCAGTAGGTGGGGGTCACACCCACCACCTGGCCCCCTGGCGCCGTGTAATCCCATCAACGGCCAAGACTCAGAGACTATAAAATCCAGCTCCCGGAACCGCGTGGCCGCATTCGCGGCTGCGCGACATCTTATCAGGACATCTTTTTATGACACTTATTATCTCATTCCTACTTTGGACAAACTTGCAGGCTATCGAATGTAGCCTGCCCATAGGGCAGAGTCTGGCAAACTCCCCGTGGCGTACCAAATATGCCAAATACCAGTAACAATGATGGGTCTCATTCTCCTAAAGAGCCTTGAATATAATCTCAGGGCTAGGATGAAAGAGACGTTACTGGGGCCTGCTCGAGGCAATTGACAAATAACAGGATGATGAATGAATGAATGAATGATACTCTCCAAATAAATCCACTTATAGGCAAATTTCATGACCTCGTTTTTCTTGTGTGATTTTTTTTGTGTAGATGTACTATAGTTTCTTTATTTATTCATCTGTTGTCTGGTACTCAGGTTGATTCAAGATTCTGCCTATTGTCAATAGTGCTGCAATGTACATAGAAGTGCAGATGGTATTTCTACTGTGTTTTTGGAAATTTTGCTTCTTCAACTCACTTCTAATAGCTTTTATGGTAACCTGGTAAACTTCTATTAGTTTATTACTCAACCTGTAAATGTTTGTGACAACTAAAATGGAAAAAAATCCTTCAAAACATTTTTAGTAGTTTTGGAAAGGACAAAACTGTCCTTGAACAAGAAAGATTCTTTATTCCTGAAGTAAAATGGAATGAGTCTTATAAGGGTTGATTCAGGACTGATGAAAACAGTTAATCCAACTTTCATATAGTCAGTTTCATGACTCCTTCCATTATTTATTTTTAATAAGTTTTGAATATGTCCAGCTCAATCAAGTGCTTAGTTTATTGAATGTTATTTTAATGTTCTCATTCTCTAATTATACAATTTTTAAGGCTGTAGTTCTTTCTATGTCATAATAAAATGGCAATATGTGATCAATTATAGTCGAATATTGTTAATTGTATATCAGCTACTCTTGAGGAAAATGTCACCATTGATTTTTAATACCTAATATTCAACTAATAATGAGAATTCTCAAATAATGTTTTCATTAAGATAAAAAGCCAGGAAAGAGGACTATGAGAAGGTTTAAAATGATAAGTTTATAATTTTTTGAAAAATTATTTTGTTCTCTAAAGGGAATTCCCTGCTACAGAGGCAGGGTGGGATAGAGGGATGGAGGGTGGGAGGGATACTGGGATCCGTGGTGGTAGAAAATGTGCACTGGTGGAGGGATGGGTATTTGATCACTGTATAATTGAAACCCAAGCACAAAAATTTGTAAGTCTACAACTGTACCTCATGGTGTTTCACTAATAAAAATTTAAATAAAAATTATTTTGTTCTCTTAAAGCTAAATTATCCTTTTACACAACATCAGTTTTGTGAAATATAAGTAACAGAAGCTTGCATGTAAACTATCCAAAATTATTTTCTACTGTGTCTGTTTTGACAAAGAGAATAATATTTGAGAAAACACCTAAAAATCAGAGAGGTACTAAAAAAAACTGATATTCCTAAAAAAGCCTTCTTGAATCAGAAACAACATAGACATGATGTCAGGGATTTTGTTAATAATTAACTTGGGCAGATTGCTCTATTTTATTGTACTTTGATTTTCTTAGCCATAAGAAGGGGCTGGTCTAATAGCACTTTCATTAAATATTTGTTTGATTATTAAATATACTAACAAATTTGAAGTGCTTATAAAACTCTTTGTACATAGTTAAACTTTTACCATACATTTTATTATTGTTTTTATCCATTATTAGTAACCATGCCATATT